AGGAAACGAGGCCACGGCGGTACTTTTGTCAGGGTCTGGTCGAATACCATCCACACTGACAACATGGCCGAAAAACTTAAGTTCCTTGTAACCGAAGTTGCATTTTTCTGGCTTCAGTGTCAGGTTAGCAGAGCGAAGCGCTTCCAGCACATTCTGCAGACGCTTCAGGTGCTCCTCAAAGGTGGCGGAAAACACGACAACATAATCGAGGTAAACTAAGCCCGTGTGCCACTTCAGACCGGTAAGAACAGCATCATTCTCTGGAATGTCGCAGGTGCAGAACAGAGGTCAAAGGGAAGCACTTTGAATTCATATAGGCCATCCGGTGTAACAAAGGTAGTTTTTTCACAATCTCGTTCATCAACTTCGATCTGCCAGTAGCCACTTTTCAAGTCTATCGATAAAAAATACTTGGCCCGCCGTAGTCTGTCGAGGGAATCGTCGATGCGAGGCAGCGGATAGACGTCTTTTTTAGTCACGCTGTTAAGCTTCTTGTAGTCCACGCAGAAGCGCAGTGATCCATCTTTTTTCTTCACGAGCACGACCGGAGATGACCAGGAACTTTTCGAAAGTTGGATAATGTTATCTTGCAGCATCTCTTTGACTTTAGCATTTATAACGTCACGTTCCTTTGCTGAAACGCGCTAAGGATGTTGTTTTATGGGCGAGACATCGTTATACATAATCATTCGGTGTTTGGTCATCGGTGTCTGACGAACCTTCGAGGTGGCCGCGAAGCACTCTTTAAATTGATATAGCAGTTCACGTAGGTCGGTCTGTTGTTGTTCCGAAAGGGTCCAGTTGACATCAACTTTTCCAAGTGGTGAAGTCACGTCGCTTGGTGTCGGTCGAAGCCCGTGGTTGGCTGATGTAGATGCGAAGCATTCAGAAATGTCTGTGATAGGGTAGGCGAAAGCGATGATGGTGTCACGAAACAGGTGCCGGTACTCGTTACTAAAATTAGTCACAAGTAGGGCAGAGTGTCCGTCATAAAGCGTGTCGAGGATGCGTACAGCGCAGACACCTAGCGCGAACAAAAGCATCAAGTTGCCTTCGGCGACAACCTACCCATCCCGTAACTTGTCAGACACTACATCAACTAGGACGCTTGAACGTGGAGGCAACGTGATGCTGTCGGCAGAAACGCGAAGCGTGCTGTCACGGATGTCGTCAGGTTTGTCGGAGGATCCAGCGTTCGAAAACGTCACCGTATGCTCTCGAAGATCGATAATAGCGCCGTGCTCCTGCAAAAAGTCGACTCCGAGGATTAGGTCTCGGGAACAGTCACGAAGTACGAGACAGCTGGCGAAAAACGTACATCCTTGAATGCTCACTCTGATAGTGCACATGCCGATTGGGTGACTACGTGCCCGCCGGCAGTACGAATTTGTGCTTCGAGCCAAGGTGTTACAACTTTCTTTATGTGCGCTGCTAGTTTCTCGCTTATGATAGAGTAGTCCACACCTGTGTCTAATAATGCACTAACGTTGTGGTGACCGTTGACTACCACATGTATATCCAGATAAAATCTGCTTCTGGCTTTTGTCGCTGTCGTCGGGGAATCGCTCCGTGTCCGTGCTTGCTTCGGTGAGAGGCCTTGCTTGCGTCGAGTGTCAGCGGCCTCACTCCCGAAGGTCGCTGTCGTTAGTTTTCCCGCGTAGGGCATCGCGAGCGCGCCGGCGCCGCTCCTGAAAGGCCCCGAAAATTTGGAGAAGATCGCCTTGGGGATGAGGACCGCGAATGCCGCCGCAGTGGCATGCGCTGCTGTGAGAGGTAATCTTCAATAGCTCTCTGTCTTTCGCCAAATCTCGGCCGTGGTGCATCGACGGCAAAACCCTGTAGTCCGAGGTGACGATAGGGACATTCCCGGTACACATGTCCAGCTTCACCACAGTAGTAACACAGTGGCCGTCTGTCCGGTGTGCGCCATACGTCGGATTTTCTAGGAAGCGGCTGTCGATTTTCTAAGTGCTGAATTGGCTGCAGCGAAGGAAGTGCATCCCGATGCATAGGAATAATGAAGCGTGATGGAGCAGGAATATATCGGCTTACAGCTTCTGCGTATGATGCACGATGTGGCTCCGCCGGGACAGGCGGGACATAGCTGGAAGGCGGCACTTGGAGAGCCTGTCGTACTTCGTTTCTGACAAGGCTGTAAATAGACCCTGCAGTAGGTTGGGACTGGAACTGAATCTTTTGTAGTTCGTCGCTCACCACCGATCGAATGAGATCGCAAAGAGACTCGATGTTGATGTTGCTTGCCGCACCTACGATCTGAACTATTGACGAAGCGGCACTCACTTGCCGGTCGTGCACAGTAGAGCGCTGCTGTAGCACTTGCTCCTAGGTTGTGGCTTCGGTCAAAAATTCTGCCACGGTCTTTGGGGGACAGCGAACGAGGCCAGCGAAAAGCTGCTCCTTCACTCCTCGCATTAAATGACGGACCTTCTTTTCTTCTGCCATGTCGGGGTCGGCTCGACGAAAGAGGCTCATCATGTCCTCGACGTACATCATGACACTTTCATTCGGCATTCGAAGGCGCGACTGAATCGCTCGCTCGGCTCGTTCGCGGCGATCGGGATTAGCCCAACTTGCCAGCAGGTATTGACGAAAGATGCTTCACGAGGGAAAAGGCTCAGAGTTTTCGTACCAAGTACGAGCGCTGTCCTCCAAGCTGAAATACACGTTCCTCATTTTGTCGAAGTCGGTCTAACCATTGTAATACGAAACCTGTTCGAACTGGGCCAGCCAGTATTCGACATACTCCAAGACGGAACCGTGGAACACCTTCGGCACACGTGGCTTCCACAGCGTATGATGCGTGGCTGCAGCGCTTTCCTGTGCGTTGGAGGCTGCAGCGCCTTCCGTAGCGTTCGGGGGTGTGATAGACGTCATCTCGGGAAGAGGTCCACGCTCAGAACGTAGTCCTCGAAGTCATCGTGTTGAGCGGTAGACAGGTGTTGTCACTGCAGGTACAGGGCTACCTGGAGGCGTTTGGAGCATCGGCTGGGGGTTACCCAGCAGCTCCACCAGTTGTCATGTGCTACAAAAGGTCTTCAACTAGGAAGAACTGAGCCGGCGGGGAGACGCACCAAAAACTGGCAAGATGGCTGCTTCAATAATAAACAACTAGCCAGAGCACGCGCTGCCCCAGAACATCGTCTTCCATTCTCGCGGGCAGCCATTGCTTGGGCTCGCCGTAACTAGCGGCCAAGTGGCAATATAAAGAAAGTGGGCATATTTATCATGACCTAACCTACAAAATATTTTTAAAAAAGCAAAATAGGGCTTCTATACAAATGGCATTTCTTTTTTCCTTCAAAGGAAGTCGAAACAACTTTGAGTAGTAGCAGGATTTGACTTTCAGTACGATGTAAGTCATAATTAACCCTTAAATCATCCAACATTTTAAAACTTATTATACTTCAAGCATGTAAGTCATCATAACAAGATTTTAAGCTTAATAAAATGAATTGATTTGAGGGTAATGTTTTCATTTGAAAGGGCCTTCCGACTTTCAAGTAGATGGAATGGATTCACTAAAGAAGCTTTATGCCTCACGAATTCACCACCGCAAAAATTTTAGAATCTGTCAAGTACACGCGGAGATGCAAAATTTCTAGCACACTGCAAGTGCAGTCTCTCTTGTCGTCTCGACGAAAGAGCTCGAAGATAAGCAGGAAGAAATGGCAAGGAGAAAGAAAATACTTGACGCACACTTTCTGGGTTTGTGGAGTCATTTGCCGTGAGAAGAGAGCAATTTTTCGCTGACTCTGGGAATTTGTTCTGAATCGCACGCCGCGTGCTGCGCTGTAATATTTGGCTTCCTTGTCTTTGGTAGACTCGACTATCGATCGGCAGCGTTTTCTGACAATGGTCAGAAAGTGTTGTAGGGCCCCTTTAAATTTGTAGGGGGGCTTTGCGGCAGAGCAGGTTTCTCCTGAATAGGTGCTTTCACGGTTGAGCAAGCGTACACTAAAGTGAAACCACCTTTACAGGCGGTACATTCAAATTGATTTGCGAATACATCGAAATTTTCAATAATTTAAGTTCGAATCTAAGCGAATTCAAATACCCTGTTATTTTTTCGAATATTCGAAGCATTCGAGTATTCGCACAAGCCTATTTTGAACCGTTTTCGAGCACCATACTCAAGTCCATCGGTAGGATTAGCATGCCTGAGTGTACTGGCTGAAAACGTGGCCTCAAAGATGTACAACTTCGAAGCTCAGAGGCCATTGCGAGTTTCTGGTTCTTCTTATTTACAGCTCTACAAGCAAAAACAAAACTTTTCGGTGGTACTGTGATTTGTTTCCCTCACCTCAGAACTGCAAATGAGACATGAAACCTGTATTCAAATATACTTTTTGTTACCGTATTGACGGGCACTGCACACTGCTTTGAGAGGTGTCGGGTTCATTCTCTTCGACACGATGTGTGACGCTGTGCCGGCGCTGGCCTCATCGCTTTCCATGTGGCTCACCACCCTCTCTGCCGGCGTTTTGTATCATGACGCCGAGAGACGCAACGCCAGAAAACGCCGGCAAAAACGCTGCATGTAGGTTCTCGGAGTGAAAAAACAGGTTGGGAATCATCCGTCCGCGAGCCACGAGGCGCGGGCAAGGTGAATCGCTGACGTGAGCTCACGTGACGCGCCGTGCGCGCCTCCAAATCCGGATTCGGCCCGTCGTCTGAAAGCACCGGAGCGTTCACACGGAGCGCGGATCCGAAAGCGGACGCAGATTATCCGCAAAGGCCGACTTTCTCCACGCGGAAAACTTGGCCGCTTTGGCCGCAGCCTATCAGGGTTCGAGACGCGTGCGTGCAGTGTCGCGTAGTGCCGCAACATGGCGACACGTTCACCATGAATTGGTGGACTGCTATAGCCGCCGTATAGAAAACAACCTAGAGAGGTAACCGGTAAAGGACATTTCCCGCGCAGCTCTATCGCGGCTCTTGCCGATTCAACGAACGAGGAAAGAGTAGATGCACGCTCTTACCTCCTTGTAGATGCGGTACTGGTCGATGGCCCAGACGGTCGGTATGTGGGTGGTGAGCAGCTGGGACAATGTGACGCGTGTGTCACAGGCGCGGGCGCAGATTAGCCGGGTCTTGCCCACTGCCGTGTCGCCCACGACAACACACTTGACGAGCTCCTGGTTCGGCTGCTCATTGTTCATCATGGACGGCCATGAATCGTCCCGCCTGCACGTACAAGCACTTCCAGGCTGAGCTCTCCGGGGAAGCTTTATACCGAGACGAAAATGTTCAGTGACATTTCACATGTTCCGAAGACCACTACTGTGCATCACAATAAAAAAAAAACAGCCCAACCACTGCACGCGGTATCTATACTTCATACGCGAGCACTAAGAGGGTGCCACTCGGAAACATGTTTCAGATTGTGGGAGAAATGAGAAGATCGTTCATCACAGTGGCGGCAACGGGCATGCTGTCGTCCCATTAAAAAAAACAAATTATAATTTTAGTTTAATCATTTGGTGTTGTCACCCTACAGAAATTGTTGGGTGACGAACCATGCTCGTCACCGAACAGCGATGTGGTTCACTCTACTGGCAGCACAAGAAATCCTCGCAGGTAGTGGCTGACCTCCGTGTCCTTTATTTCTCCTCCTCGCAGGTAGCCTCAACTTTGTTTAAAAACAAAAATGCAAATGTAACTTGAAATTGCATTTCACGCACTTGAGGTAGCTTTAGGTCGGGCCAAAGAGTAATTTTTGCTTTTTATTTGCCACGCCGGCGCCGCTTTCGCACGCCTGTCTGCCTATGGTGAAGAAACGCGAGCACTACGTCCGGCAGAACAGAGAGAATTTAACATTATTATGCGACCTGGTACGCGTTCCCTTCGCCCAGAAGTGGGTGACTTCCTCATTACAGGTAGCCATGGCTAACCCCTGAACAAAAAAAAAAAAAATCGCGACTGACTTGAGGGAAACCATGCCCGTGAGTCGAACGTAATCTAGTAACGTTGCGCTATTCCCCGAGCGTAATGGTAATAATGCACACCAGTATTCAAACAGTGTTCGAAAATCTACGTCGAAGATTTTAGCATCACGTTCCACTTTACCAAGACGTCCATGCTGGCTTTCATGCAACACAGAACCTTAAACATGACTGAAAAACAGCAGGGACCTTCTGTTTCTTTTTTTTTTTTGTAAAGTACGCCTCATGTTCGTTTTAGTAGCACGTTTTCATGGTTCATGCTCGTTTATATGACGAAAATTCAAGGACTTTCAAGGCTATGTGTGGGAATTTCCAAGGACCGCATTGTCTGTTAGAAACGCAATTACCACGTGTTGAGGGAATGATAAAGGCTTGAAATAACTAGAATTCACCGAAAAAGGGTAACTTCACTGGAGCATACGTCAAAAACGTGGCTGCAATTTCATCTCTGTAGACAACTTTCAATCATAGTTCCCTGAATTTGCATAGGCAATCACTTGCAGTATAACATAAGTTGCAAACTTTTATTGAGATGGGAACAACTAAGGAACAGTGATTGTGCAACGCCTTGTTCTGAATTTTCGTACAATAATGGCTGTTTGACTTGATGATGCACGTCAAGTCACTAATTGTCGTCTCTGCCTTTTCTACATATGAGTATGCTACAGCTGTTAACTGCTTAACAGCTGCTACTAGTTCCTGTTCCTTTTTTTATTTTAAAGCCTTTCGACCTCCTCCTCAATGCAACGTTTTCTTTTCTGTTTCTCACCCCTCTGCTTCAGCCTTTTCTGAGTTTCCAGAAATGCAATTAGTGCACTGAGCCATGCGCAACAATGATTTTTTTTTTAATGGGAGTTCAAGGATTTTCAACTATTTGTGAAAATTCCAGCACTTTCAAGGCCTCGAAATTTGAAAACGAACTTTTCAAATTCAAGGAATTTCAAGTATTTTAAAGACCCGCATGAACCCTGCATATAGCATGAGTGGAACCACTAGAGTTCGTTCGAATCGTTTCACAATCACAACGCCAATGTGGCACTGTTGCCGGAAGAGACCAACTATACCGCTCAACTACGGTGCATAATTCGTCAAACTGGCTGACAAAAAGGTGGAGGAACCATTGTAGTATTACCTTATTTGACAATTTGCGTGCTTTAAATAACCCCGACGGTATTTGTTTTATTATAATACATAACTTGCTGAAGCCTGCAAAAACTGCACGAGGTCCCAGCTTTTGACTTTCACCGGTACTACAATCGCCATCGCCTCGCCGACTCCACCACCCGGTGTTCTAGGCATTCATTACACCAATTAAAAAAAAAAGACCGGACGCCGATCGAAAAATTCTGTTTTAAAATTTTCTACTAACTTTACAGAGAAACCGCTGCAAGGTGGAACACTTCAGACGGTACGCTTTTTATTGCGATACAAAACAGAAAAGCGACGAAGGACATGTATAGACGGTCTAAAATTTGATGCATGTGTTGCCAATACCAGAGCTATATCTATTTAGCCAACGTGTCCTAAGTTCGATTCCTCACAGTGGGCGCAGTTCACCTGCTTGACGGGAGATGCTTCGCTGTAGGCGGGAAGACTGAAACCCCTCCGTCCTCAAAATTTTCAATATAAATGCGTACATACAGGCACAATACAAACGAAGATGCGCATATGCATAAAGGGTGGTTGAATGCTAAAAGCTAGTGTTTCAAATTACATTTGCTCACTTTTTGTGCTTCAGCGTGTGGTGCACGGATAAGTTTGATTTCATCTACTCATTACTCGGCCCCTCTCAATTATAAAATGTCTGTAAAGGGGTGCGAGTAGTGAATAAAACAGACAAATGAATAAATATAACAATGAAAATAGTTAAATATACTCGTGTATTTGCTGTGAAATATTTATTAGTATACTACATTAGCACAGCACAACTTTTACTGGTGCTTTTTATTACTGCAATAGCAATTTCCATCGCATATTTTTTCGGCTGCAGTCAATTTGTTCCGTGTGCCCGCCCCGCCGCGGTGGTCTAGTGGCTAAGGTACTCGGCTGCTGACCCGCAGCTCGCGGGTTCGAATCCCGGCTGCGGCGGCTGCATTTCCGATGGAGGCGGAAATGCTGTAGGCCCGTGTGCTCAGATTTGGGTGCACGTTAAAGATCCCCAGGTGGTCGAAATTTCCGGAGCCCTCCACCACGGCGTTTCTCATGTTCATATGGTGGTTTTGGGACGTTAAACCCCACATATCATATCTACAGGCTGATAGGATAACAGTTATTGGAGTCCTCAAATGACGGATATTTGTAGTTACAAATAGCAAAGCGCGGGATTTCGTCAATTTAAAGATTTGACGTATAAAATGTTGCCAATTTGGATAGGACCAACATGTAAAAGAAATCGGGCTTCCTGATATAGAACATGTGGCGGCAGCCATCACCACTAATCTTATTTTATTCCCGCATTTTGGAAAATTATTATCGAAGTGATGTGCTAAGCTGTACTGTGCCCCGACTGAGGAAAGTCTGGTGGAGGAAGTACGCGCCATCTATTGCACCCATTAGGCAATTTTTTTTTTTCTGATGCTGTGAAGCACTTAATTTAAAGGGACCCTGCAACACTTTTTGAGCACGTTCAAAAAACGCTGCCGATCGGTAGTAGAGGCTCCCGAAAACACGCGAGCCAAATATTAAAGCGCAGCACGCAGCCTAGAATTCGCAATAAATGATCAAAATCAGCTAAAAATTGCTTTTCTCTTCTCTCGACAAATCACGCAATATACCAAAAAAATCACTCGTAGTAAGCCCATCCATCAGCCATTGGCTGATTTGAACATGGCGCGCTCACTTGCTGCATAGATCGCCGCGGGAGGCCGCTAACTGCCCACGCGTGCACGTGCGATCACACTGAAAAGCCGCGCATTCCAAGAAAAAAAAAAGGTTCAAGGTTACGAGGCTCGCGTGACCCTGCCTGTGGCCCTGCCATCCCTCCGTGCTTAGCTTCCAGCGCTTTCGTCGGGACGAGAGAAGAGAGAATGCGATTGCAGCGTGTGACAAATCTTTGTAACTCCGCTCGTACTGGACGGATTCTTAAAATTTTCGCTGCATTCAATTTGTGAGGTAATACGCTTTCCCAGTGAATTAATTCTATGGTTACTTGAAAAAGTGTTTCAGAGCTAATTTAACGCAGTTTCGAAAATCGCTGTCTACTACACGTAGTTTGCTTTCAGTTAATTGACTGTTTTTTTTTAGTCAAGAGTCCGACGGAATCCCTTCTGATCGGGGAAGAAGGCTCCCGTGTGAAGAGCCAAAACGTCTGTTTCATTTTTTTTTGTATTCTACTTTAATCGGCGTTTTTGCTACTTTGCACTAACTGTTTCCTTGCTCTTTTTTTTTTCATCACAAGTTAGAAATTCAACAAATGCATAAAAAAAGTCGAATTTGACTGAATCAAATGTCGAACTATTCCTTAGCCCGTCACGCTGACAATGCACCGGCACTGTTGTAGGCGGAATCCCAACACCTAAAACGGGGCTATATAGGTTGTACACGACTTCAAGATACACACTGCACTGTAAGCGTAACACGTTTTGCTCGCACCCTAAAAACACGAAATCATAAAGGCAAAAATGCGATGGCCGCACCCGCAACGTCGTAAAGGTGTACGCGTCAGCCACGCCGCCGCAGTGATGAGCAGCGGCCAAGCGTCGGCCCGAGTCTCGGCGCGCGCCTGCGTGTTTTCGGCCGTTTCCGGTCATCGACCCTCCCCATTCCGCGCTTCCGATCCGCTGCTGCTGAAAACGCGGCGGGTAAACAAGCCGCGGCAGCAGGCTAACGGAAAAAAAAGAAAAAGAAAACTTGGAAGCAAGTTTACGCTCATATGCTCGTACGATCGTGCTTTCGTACTTCTCAACCCGATTTTATATATGCACTGGCTGCAGCTTTAGCATGCATTAATTTGCCAACAGATCACTATGCATATAAAGAAAAATAGAAGAATGGCAAGTTGGTAGAGAACCATAATATACTGCACAAAAAAAAAAAAACAGACGGAAACAAGAAAGGATGGAAAAGGACAGACAAGCGCAGACTACGAACTGAAGCTTTATTGCAAGACCGAGGTAATATATGAAGGAAATGATAAAAAAGCAAAGGACGGCAAAGGGGGAGGAGAAAAAAATGCACGAGGGACGAAATCAAGAAAAACCTACGCCACATGAGGAATAGCACGCGCATCATACAAAACCAAGA